AACACATTGCATTACACCAAATACACAACATAATGTTCTTTTTAGCAACGTCATATGACCCCTTTAATTATCCATCACAATGAGTAAAACCAAAGAATATAGTTCTGATGTGCAGCGAAAGATTGTTAAGTTTAACAAAATAGAAAATGGCCTGACTGCTTCTGCTGTAAATCTTACAATAGACAGTGGTTGGATCTTCCATCAGGGCATTGATTCCCTGGAAAAAAATAAACAATCAAACAAACACAAAAATGGGTCACTGAACACAAAATTAAGGTTCTGCCATGGCCATTCCAGTCCTCTGACCTAAACCCTATATAAAATTAGTTGGGTGAACTGAAGAGGAGGGTGCACCAATATGGACCTCAGAATTTGAAGGATCTTTGAAGGAATTTTAATGTTTTATGCATTCATTTGATCACCACCATTTTTGATAATAAATTTGTTTTAATTCATAAATTCAGAATAATTCAAACAGATAACACAGAATTACTTAAAAAAAAAAAACACTTTATATGGCTATAGTATTGCACAAAAATTAAGAAAATATTAATTTTGTAAATGCAATTGATTTGAATGCTTTTTAGATTTTTTTTATTTTAATTTAACCATTAAAACAGAGTCCAGAAAATTGAAACAAACAAAAACAAGAAAAGTAATCTAGACTGTAAATGATGTATGAGCCATATTTACAAAAAAACGTTCAACACATCTTTCTGAGTTTTACCGTACTGCAATTTTTTTCTAGAAAGTTTGTGCTGGCGAACTGATTCATTTTTCCTCACAAGCTATAAAATCAACCTTTTAAATACAATTTTGTTTCCTGGAAGACATATTAAAACCTATTCCTGATTCACAGAAATGTTATTGTTTTTTTTGTGCAACATGCATCCTGCGATCAGTGAAGTTTGTCACTCAATCCAATTGGCTATGCAAGAATATTTCCCATTGAACACCTTTGGATAAAGATACATAGTTTTCTGATTTGTGATATATAAATGTACATAACAGCACGTTAGATAAACATTGAAACAGCCAGGATAAATTTATGTTTTAAATGTGACCTGTCTATGTGTGTGTGTGTTTGTGTGCAGGGCTGAAGCAGTGACTCTTAATGATTGTCTCCAGCTGTCATATCTACCATCTAAGAGGAATCACATGTTACTGTTGTACCCCAGAGAAATCCTCATCCTAGACTTGGAGCTCAGTCAGACCGTTGGAGTGGTTGCCATCGAGCGCTCTGGCGTACCCTTTATACAGGTGTGTTATTTAAACTGAAAAAAAAAAATCACATATTTTTGCTTATTTAACTGCATTGTGCCATCTGAACAATTGTTAGAAGATGTGATCCGTACTGAACCAAACACATAAAGGGCTCTTGGTACAGAACACACAATGACACAAATACTGTAAATGCATATCTTGTCCTATGCAGAACCAAAGTTTTTAGAAGAATGTATTGTAGTATATAGTTTTTTTTTTCATGCACCATGAGCACTGTGGTCTTCTTTAACAAATAATCATGCCACACAAATAGCGTTCCTCAATTCAAGAACATGGAAGATGTGACTATTTTCTCCTCCTGCTGAAAATGAGCAGAAATGCATAAAAGCACACAGAGACTGCTTGCTTCTGACACCTCATTCCCAGCACTTCTTCAAACAGACAGAAATACTTTCCAGAGATAATGACAAACAGACAGAATAATAACATCACCATGAGTAAGGATGAAGCCTATATGGTTGATATTGTCAACAGACTGTGTGTGGTCACAATTATGAATATGGAACTACTGATATAAACAACTCACATTTTATATGTACAATAAACAGAATAATTGCAACAACAACAACAAAAAAATGGAGATTAGGTTAGCAAGCACAAAGCTTAAGTCAGTCAGTCAAATAGGAAGCAATATGTAACCCATGACAAGAACGTCACAAATAGTCAGATAAAAATAAACGATAAATAAATTACTTTCAAGTGATTTGTTATAAAAGTGTGCATCAAATTTGCTAAACACGGAAGCTTGAACGTGTGTGATGCATTAGAACTGACCTCATTTGTTCTCACGCCTTCACGCACATTTGAGCATCTTTTTTTTCCTTTTAATGGCATCTGGCAAACACACTTGCAGGTACATACCGCCACCTACTGCACGACCCCTGTGTGACAGCTGACATAAAATAAAGGTACTGATACCATTCAGTTAAAAAAAAATCCTTAATCGGCCCTGATAATGATTCTTGAGATAGGCTCGGGACATCCCTACACACATACAAGGGTAACACTTTATTTTGATAGTCCGCTTTAGACATTCTACTAACAGTAAGTAACTTTGCAACTACATGTCAACTAGCAGTCATTATAGTATTAGAAGACTGTCTGCTTAATATCTTCTAACACTTTATTTTGATGGGTCCACAACATACAACATACTGACTGTCAACTTATTCTACAAACCCTAAACCTAACCTAACAGTCTACTCTGGGAGTTAGTAGACATGTAGTTGCAAATTAATGAGAATTAGTTGACATGTAGTTGCAAAGTTACTTATAGTTAGTAGAATGTCTAAAGTGGACTATCAAAATAAAGTGTATTAGAAGACTGTCTGCTTAATATCTTCTAACACTTTATTTTGATGGGTCCACAACATACAACATACTGACTGTCAACTTATTCTACAAACCCTAAACCTAACCTAACAGTCTACTCTGGGAGTTAGTAGACATGTAGTTGCAAATTAATGAGAATTAGTTGACATGTAGTTGCAAAGTGTGTGAGTCTCTATGTGGTCAATGTACTGTATGTCTGTGTATGTTTGTTATGAGCATGCACATGCACACACACATCTGACCTTTATCTTTATCATTTTACCATTTCATATTTCCACAGTAAAAGTTGGCATCATTTGTTTACTGGTGTTGAAAATCATTTACACATGTGTATGGTATATGTAGGATACAAATGGCACTTGCTTTTAAGATTGACCTATTTACATGTGATTTCTCAAGCACGTTTGTGTATTAGATAAAGCCAGTGCATCTTCTGATCTGTATTTTTTTTTTTGGGGCATTAAAATGCATGCATGCACGCACACACACACACACATTAAGTGTTATAAAGCACTTGTCAGGAAGGCAATTTGCATGACTGATGGTGCAGCTGCAAGCACTCATACTCTCAGTCTAGGCTGACCGTGAGAGCCTGGCATAAGCCAGTAACGCGCACACACACAGTAAAAGCTTACAAATTTGCTCTAGTTTCTAATTTTTTCACATCAGTCCACACTCCATACACCATAATGGCAAAGCAAAAAACAGATTTGTAACAACTTAGCAAATTTATTAAAGGAAAACCTGAAATACGAACATTGCATAAGTATTCAAACCCTTCTTAGTTTAAGCACTTTTACAGCCTCAAATCTTTTTGTGTATGATGCGACAAGCTTTGCACATCAACATTTGGCAATGTATCTGCCATTCTTCTCCTTACTACTTCAACTCTCAAGCTCTGTCAGGTTGGATATGGGCCGACAGACATTTTCAGGTTTCTCCAGAAATGTTCAGTTGGGTTCAAGCCCAGGTCTGGCTGGGCCACTCAAGGAAATTCACGGAGTTGTCCCTAAGCCACACTTGCATTGTTTTAGTGTGTGCTTGGAGTCATTGTCCTGTTGGAAGGTGAACCTTCTGCCCAGTCTGAGGTTCTAAATGTTTGGGACTAGGTTTACATTAAGGCTATCTCTATATTTTGCTGTGTTGAGGTTTCCTTCCTTCTCTCACGAGTCCCCCAGTCCCTGCCGCTGAAAAATACCCCCACAGCATGAGACTGCTACCACCTCACTTTACTGATGGGATGGTAATGTACAAGTGATGAGCAGTGCCTAGTTTTCTCCATCAGTGTTGGGCAGTAACGCATTACTTAGTAACGCATTACTGTAATTTGATTACTTTTTTAGTAACGGAGTAATTTAACGCGTTATAATTTTCAAAATAGTAAAAAATAGTATAGTTACAAGCCGAGGTCTCTATACGTTACTGCCATGTTACATTGCTGACAGAATGCAGTGATTTATAATCTAGAGATTGTAAAAAGGATGTAGCACACACACTGTCGAGTCAAGTGCCAGTGGATTAGAGACCTGCTCCCGTGAGACCCGACGCAACAGAGTACGGCGCGGGACAAGATGGGCGAGTAGACACTCGTGTGTGTGTGGGATGCGGGAGAATAAAATGATTCACGGGACTCGCCGCAAAATAGAAATATCTAAACATAAAATATCTAAAACAAATAAATTGTTATTCATCTATTGCACAAAATCAACATGAACTAATATAAAATATAAACGATTAACAGGTGCAAGC